AGAAATACCATTTCCTGGGACGCCTGGGTGGCTCAGTCAGTTAGGCATCTGCCTTCGGCTCAGGTCATGACCCCAGGGTCCTGGATTGAGTCCCACATGAGGCTCCTTGCTCAACAGAGAGCTTGCTTCTCCCTCTGCCTGCTTTTCCCTCTGCCTGCCACTTCCCCTGCTTGTGCTTGCTCTCTCTCTGACAAATATATAAATAAAATCTTAAAAAAAAAAAAAGAAATCATTTCCTTGATTTGTTTGCCATGAGCATCTCCTCCAAAAGTTTTTCACTCACATAAAAATTCTCACTGATACTCTAAATAAACACAGCTGTCAGGGAGTTGTTTTTATTTGTGTTCTTATCAGCTACAAAGAAAAATACCACAAATTATTTAACATGTTTATTCAGCTCACCTTTTAAGTTTGTAGCCATACCACTAACATAGGGAACAACTATAATATTAATTAGACGTAGATATGCAAATGTTTATTATTCACAAATTCTGCTGCATTCTTTAATAAATGTTATCATCTATAAGAGACTTTAATACCTTAAAGGTTTTTTTATCTTAAATATATAATTTTATGTCACAGGAGTACCACTTATTTTATTTGCATTTAAATAACAAACCCTATTTAAAATCAGTACCTTTCTGTTTACTCCATTTTTATCATGCATCTTTTCTACATAGTAATTATAATCCTATTGTACTTTGTTTCATAATGCTATCTTTGACAGTCACATTTCCCCCCCACGACAGTCACATTTTCTTTGCCTTATTTCACCATTAGGGATATTCTCTTCCACAAAGAAATAAGCCTTCTGACATTTCTTTTGCAAATCATAGGACTCTAGTTATCTCTTTCTTGGACACAAGAAATATTTCACTTTCCTCTTGATTCTACTGTAAGAGAGACCACAGCCCACAGAACCCAAAGACAGGGAATAGTATAAACTCTATACACATAAATTTGACAATTTAGATGAAATCAGTCAATTCTTTGAAAACCACAAACTACCAAAAATCACTCAAGATAAAATACATAACCTGAATAGACCTGTAATTATTAAAGAAATTGCGTTTGCAGTTTAAATCCTTCCAAAAAAGAAATCTCTAAGCTAAGATAATTTCACTGGTGAATTCTTCCAAACATTTAAAAAAAGAAATAGCACCAATTTTCACAATCTCTTCCAGAAAATAGAAGAGGAGAAAATACTTTTAACTTATTTTATGAGGCTTGCACCACCTTGATAGCAAAATAGAGGACAGTGTAAGATCTAGACCTAAAAATAAACCTAAAAATCCTCAAAAAAAATATTAGCAAGTTGGGTCCAGCAGTATATAAAAAGAGTAATGAGACCATGTCCAAGTGGGGTCTATCCCAGGAATGCAAGGCTATCTCAGTCTTTGAAAATCAACCAATGTGACAAGCCATGTTAACAATAGAATAGGGGCGCCTGGGTGGGTCAGTCAGGTAAGCATCTGCCTTTGGCTCATGTCATGATCCCAGGACCCTGGGATCGAGGCCTGCACTGGGCTCCCTGCTCAGCGGGGTGTCTGCTTCTCCCCCTCCTTCCTGCTCGTGCTCTCTCTTACTATCTCGTCTCTCAAGTAAATAAATAATGTATTTTAAAAAAAATAAACCACAGATTTAAAAAGAAAAACAATAGAATACTACCAAGTCAGTAAAAAGGCATGAACTGCTGATACAAGCACCACATTGATGAGTCTGAGAGGCCTTATTCTGAGTGAAAGAAGCCCATCTCAAAAGGTTACATACTATATATTTCCATTTATATGACATTTTCAAAAAGCCAGAACTATAATGATTGAGAATAGATAGCTGTTGCTAGGGATTAGAGGTGAGGAGAGAGTGTGACTACAGAGGGATAGCCCCAGGGAGTTTTTTGGGGTAACGGAAGTGTTCTCTATCTTGGTTATGGTGGTGGTTACATGCATCTATTCATAGGTTAAAATTTATAGAAGTGTATAAACACAAGAATGTCCATTTTATTGTAAGAAAATAAAAATTTTAAAAGCCCCAGCCGACCAAGTGGGATGATAAACAACAGTTATCACTCTGCCTCATTGGGACATGGCTGGGGTCTTTTCAAATTGGAACATGTACCCTGACTAAAGCCACTAGTCCACTTCAGCTAATTTTTGCCACATTGGAATGGAGACCCAGCATTGTTGGATCTTGTGATTTTTTAAGAGAACCAGAATCCCAAAATTTTACCTAAAATCTGGTATTTTAAAGCATTGTTAAATAATTTTTAAATTTTTTAAAATGCTGTGTTGACCAGCATAAGTTTGAAAAATAGGCATACTAATATGCAATCATTGATACTGATAGATGTTGTAGTAGGTAATTGTAGGCAGCTTAGTGCTAAAGAGAGCCTTGAGTCATTGAGAGAAGAATGATGAATGTCCCTAGGGTTGCTCTGTTATGTGAGAATCTTACAGTAAGTTTATGGTATTTGTGGATGGCATGGGCTTCTAAAAAGATGTGAAATCTTTAGGTGATAGAATGATGGTCTGGGGAAGGCACCAGAAAGAAGTAAGTCAACTTCCTTTATCCTGGCTAGTAAAAGAAATAGTTTCCATTGGAGAAGACTTTGGAGAAATTGGGACATTTTAAGAAAGAGATGTTCAGTTGAAGTGATAAGTTAGTTTGTATAAATAGAAATCCTACAGGGCTCCATGAAGGGGTTGGCAGAGGAGTGAGCACAAGGATGAACCATGATTGAGGAGGAACATGACTGAGGTGGACAAGAATGATGATCTGGGAGATGAATATAGGAGTATATTGGGTACACTATGTGGAAGCAGAGGGTTTAGAAGTGGCAATCCCTTGGACTTGTAGGAATTGCGGGAACAATATTCTCTTTTATACCTCTAAAGCTTGACTCATGCTCTTCCCTCTGTCTGGAATGTTTTATCCCAGTCTCTCTCAGCCTTACCTGTATCATTCATATTTAAGATTCTAAATCCAGATGTTTATGTTTCACTTCTGGAAACCATCCCTGGCACTCCTTCCTCACTTCTTCCCCAAGTTCAGACCCCTATTTCTCTTACCTCCCAATATACATCCCTATCTCAGAGCTCACCATTTTATATTAAAATTATTCTTTTTAAGTTCCTCTGGATCAGGTTCCATGTTTTCTTCATCCCTTTGCCTCAGGCAGGTAGCACAGAGCCTGGCACTGAGCTAGTATCAACAAATATTTGAGGAGTTAGGCTACCACATGTTTTGATTGTAAGATTGGTGTGGCAGGTACCTGGACTTTCTTCTTCCTTTAAGGGCCACTGGTAGTATAGGCCTATGAGCTGTTTTGTGATTGGTTCAGATCTGCTTAGAGAAAAAGCAAAACTCAGCCAGACAGCAGGTCATTGTTAAGGCCAGAGACATATGCCTTTATGCTCAGTGTCTTCTTTGTTTCTAAAATATAGAGACAGTATTTTGGGAAATGATGAATGGTAAGGGAATGTTTTCTGACATTTACACTGGGCAGCCAGAACTTTATGTGATGCTATTATAGTGATCACTACACAGAGTATTTATCCTACCGCATTCCTGTCATTTGTCTTTGTAGAAAATCTTGGTGGTGAATAGATTTAAAGGACTTTATGTTACCTGTTCAAGAACAAAATTCTCATCAAGACCCAAGGGTATTTTATTGAGTCTGTACCTTGGCAGTTTCTCTGCACAAATTATTCCATTGACCTTTCCAGAGACATCTTAAAATATCTAACTGCAACCTTTCCTCTTTGTGTTAGGCCCTTCATCATTATTTGACTGTTGGGCTGCTGGAACAATTCCTTCTGCTTTCTGTGTCATTGTAATTGAACTTTCAGCACCATTATTCTTTTCTTTTGTGGTATATTCTTCAATTTCTTTCCTAAAGTTTTGCTTTAGACTATTTTTTTAGGCTTTGTTCTTCCATTAGGCTTTTCAGAGGACTGGAGAGCCATTTAATAGAGAACCTGAACTCACAGGAATGAGATGATAAAAGAAGCTTCAAGTGATTACTTTTCATATTAATGTTTCTCCTTCTTCACCCTGCCTCATCTCCAGCATAGAACTAAGGTCTTATTTTTCTTAAATAATGAACAATAAGGATATAGAAGATGTTGTTATTCTTCTATTCATCAGACATAATAATTAGGCATTATTAAGCATAATAGACTTGTACACCAAGTGTATACTATGCTAATTAGTCCATACAAAAATGAAAAAGACAAGTCCATGCCTTCAAGGAATTAAAAATCTAATCATTAGGGTAATGAATAAGCTAAAAGTTACAAATACCTCCTGTAAGCTTTTTTTTTTTTTTTGAATCTTCAAATAGAACAATACACTTTCCTGACAGAGTTATATCATCACATGACCTTCCCTGTGTGAAGAACTTAGCACACCTTATGACCTGTAGTAAAGAGTTCAATAAATGGGGATTATATTGATGGATAGATACAGAATAAGTGGAAACATAAAGAAGGGAATGGCCATGACATCTCTACCTGGACACAAAGAAGTTTTCACAGGGGCACCTGGTGGCTCAGTCGATTAAGCATCTGCCTTCAGCTTGGGTCATGATCCCAGGGTCCTGGGACTGAGCCCCACATCTGGCTCCCTGCTCAGCGGGGAGTCGGCTTCTCCCTCTCCCTCTGCCCCTCCTCTGCCATTCGTGTGTGTGTGTGTGTGTGTGTGTGTGTGTGTGTCTCTCAAAAATCTTTAAAAAAAAAGTTTTCACAGAGAAAGTAATACTGGAGGAAATTGCATATACAAGGCATAAGGGAATGAAACATAAGGAACATTTAGAGAACCCTAAATAAATATCTAGAAGAGAGGGATAGAGGAGGGGAGCAAAGCTAGAGATGAGGCTTCTGCAGGAATTTGAGCTTGATCCTACAAGGAATGGGGACCATTAATTTATATTAAGCAGGGAGTCTTAAAATTAGTCAATACAAAAGAAAATTTCTGATATATTACATGTATGTCTCTTTCAGGTCTCACTTGCCCTGGAGCCTCTGTCAGAAACTTATGACAGCTACAATCCTCTTCCTACTACCGATGTGAAAGAAAATGTGCTTTTATCTGAGCAGGAATTCAGAGAATATACTGAACCCAGCAGTACCCAGTTTCTGGTTCCATCAAGGCCCCATAGGATGCCTACCACCAAAATTGATGGAAAAGAGTTAGCAGCTAACAGTAGTAGATCAACCACTCCAAGGTAATTACCACAGTCTGTCCGCTAACTCCCACTGTACTCAGAATTTCTGTTCTTTATTTGTGTTTGGATGAAAGACTGAAAGTAGTCATTCATTCAGCAAATAAATATTAAGTAACCACTGGTGTAGAGAGGGATTGCTGTCATTGCTGATTAGGATTATGTGTGGGGGAGTCATTTGGTACTGGACTGCCAAGGTACCAAGTCTGTACCAAATACTGGGCATAGAAATTAATAAGAAACAATTCTTGTCTTTGAGGATTGCTCACAATCTGGTGAGGAGACCAATGTACAGATAAATAAGTATAACTAAGTCATATACAAATGCCAGGATAGATATCCATGAGGGTAAAAGGGAAAAGGGCAGTATTTCATGAAACAGGATGGACTAAGAGAAATAGATTTTTATTTATTTATTTATTTTTAAGATTTTATTTATTTATTTGACAGAGAGAGACACAGTGGGAGAGGGAACGCAAGCAGAGGGAGTGGGAGAGGGAGAAGCAGGCTTCCCACTGAGCAGGGAGCCCGACGCAGGGCTCGATCCTGGGACCCCGGGATCATGACCTGAGCCAAAGGCAGATGCTTAACAACTGAGCCACCCAGGCGCCCCCAGATTTTTATTTTAAATAATTACAAAGCATTTGCTTTGTGTCAGGCTCTGCACTGAGCTCGCTCTTTCTTTTTTCAAGATTGATTTATTTGAGAGAGAGAGCACACACACTTGCATGTGCACAAGTGAGGGGAGGGGCAGAGGGAGAGAATCTTCAAGCAGACTCCCTGCTGAGCACAGAGCCCAACATGGGGTTTGATCTCATAACCTGAGATCATGACCTGAGCTGAAACCAAGAATCAGACACTTAACTGAGCCACCCAGGTACTCCAACTGGGCTCTTTATTTCATAATCTCACTTGAGCCACAACTGTAGGTAAAACATTATTATTTATCTCATTTGGGAGATGAAAAACAGATTTACAAAGTCTAAGCTACACTGCTATAAACTACTGATACACTTTCTGTCTCTGACAAAGTGAAATGTTACCATAATGGGTAATATAATATTGCTAAAATTCTCCTTTATTTTATAACAGGGGAAAGGACCACTTGTACTTTGCAGAAAACTCAGATACAATAAAGGACTCTTTCTTTGGACTACAACACCATCTTAATTCAGGACAGAGTTTAGAGTCTATGACTCTGAAAGGCAAGACCCCACGGAAGCAGATGTCCCTTCTTAACAGTTCTGAATTCCAGCCTCAAATTAGGACAGTGGCCAAGAGTCACAGCGATTCATGCATTCTTTCTTCAAACAACCCCCCTACCAAGGACCTTCTTTCAGGTATGTATGTATTTGTGAACCAAGACTAAGCTATATTTATTGGGATTACTCTGCTTGTTAGCCAGTCTTCAAAGAGAATCAACACTTCTGTTTGAAATAAATAACCAAATAAAAGTGAGTGATCTCACTAAAGTTCAGAATTTCTCACTATTTAAAGACAGCTCTATTAAACCAGTAAGTTACTTCTAAATAATTACTAGGTGCTTACAATTGTAGGTTTAAGGAAGGAGCCATTTAAAATGAACCTAAATATGGGGGGGAGGTGTTTATCATAGAGAAATATTATTCTTTATTTTTTCCCAAATTAAGGCAAATACAGTTTTTATCTCATCAGCAGATTTACTTGTACTACTGTGCAGAGGCTAGTACTAAATCTGCTTCACATTCTGAAAATTCTTGGCCTCAGTGGGAACATTCAGTGCACAGCAACTGCTAATCTTAAGTCTGGGAATTAAATATGACTTACAGCCAAGCAGAAATAGAAAGGAGTCAGTTTACCTGTATAAGGGATAAACTGAAATAAAGAAACCCAAATAGGATTATTTAGGGGTAGTATTATAAAAGCAATCGAGATACCTTATATGTAATGCTCAACCATTTATCTCTGTGACATCAGGAGCATGACAGGGATTTGTCTCCATCCTCACTAGCAAATTTCCAAAGTAGAGTATCTGCAGCATTAATAGAAAAATCTTTAAAATAACTATATGGGTACATAATTTATGTTAGTAAGGATATTTGTTTCATGAAGAAAGACATTCTATTCATACTTTTTCAGCTGAAATGTCTGTGAATCCCGTTTTTGAAAATACACTCTTATTACACTCTATTAATTTTATTTTTTAATTTTTAATTTTTTTAAATTTTATTTAAATTCAGTTAATTAACATATAGTGTATTATTAGTTTCAGAGGTAGAGTTCAGTGATTTATCAGTTGCATATAGCATCCAGTGCTCATTACATCAAGTGCCCTCCTTAATGCCCATCTCCCAATTACCCCATGCCCCCACCCACCTCCCCTCCAGCAACCCTTGGTTTCCTATAGTTAAAAGCCTCTTATATAGTCTATTTTAATCTTCAGTGCAGTCCTAGGCTACATTAACAAGAACAAATTGTTCCATTATACTATACTGCCTGCACTTGTCAACTCACACCTGAATATTTTGTGTAGGCACCAGACTTTGAGAAAGATATTTGTTCACTCATTAAGCAGTTACTTATTTAGTACCTATCAAATGTCTGGCATTCTTCTAGGTGTCAGGGATACAGCCATTTAAATGAAAAAAAAAACAAAAAACAAATTTCTGCATTATGGATCTTGTATCCTAGATGGGAAGACCAATAATAAACTGGATAAATAAGTAAGTATATAGTATTAGATGGTGATAATGGCAGTGGGAAAAAAACGAAGCAGGGCACTTAAGAGGAGGGGATGGTAGTTTTACATAGGTTGGCAAAGGAAAGCCTCACTAAGAAGGTAACATGAAAGTAAAGATCTAAAGATGAGTTCCTTCTAAGGAGAGTAACTAGGTTTATGAAGGGACTACCAAGAGATATTAAGCATCATAAAAACAGCTGCCATTTATTGAGCATTCATTATGTGCTAGCTACTATGCCAAGTGCCTTATACACATAATCTTACAAAAACCAAGTGAGGTAGGGATTGTTATCACCATTCTAAAATGAAAACACAGGCTCAGAATTAGGGAGCTCCTGTCCTCTCAAAGGGAGAAGCTGCTCTTCAGCTCCAGTTCATTATTGTCTTTAGACTCTAAGGTCCTCTGCTTTATCCTGCTGTAAGTTCATTGTTTACCTAGGCCTACCTTTTTTTTCTTTTTTCCTTAAATCAAGACTTTGCTGGCCAACTGTTGAGGCCAAACAAAATATGACAAGTACAACCCATGGGCTGCCAATATGCAACCTCTTCCATGAGAGTTATGAGGATCAGTTGGCTTACAGATGATATAAGACAGATTATGACTCAGTCTGAGTTAACAATAAGACCTGTGCAGAATGGGAAACGACAGCTTCAAGAGGTAGTGAATTCTCTATCACTGGAAAACTCAAGCTAGCTAACCATCCTGATGGGACTTTTACAGATTGTATTGCATCATCAAGTGGACAGATAAGAGCTTTTAAGGTCCCTTCCAACCACAAGATTCTGGAGGACTAAGATTAAGTGGTTCATTCTAGTAAGTAGGTCTAGAGCTGAGATTATGAGAGGGATCTAACAAATACATAAATATAAATATCTTCCTGGTCTTTATTGGACTGACATGATACCAGAAAAGGGGTACAGAGCTGAATTGGTCAACCAGCTAGTGTTTATGAAACATGAACTACACATCCTGCTTTTGAGAGTTGGGTTTGGAATAGATAGCAAGCAGTTGGAACAAAAACCAGAAGCTTTACATCTCCCTGTGTTTAGCAGGGGCTGTACCCATGGCATATGGGAAATAAACAAAGGAAAGCTTTGTCCTGAACTCACCTGGGTGCCTTCTTTTGTGTTCAGGGAATGATTATTGAGTTGAAGTGCAGGCTGATGCCATGACAGCTCTTACAGTGTAAGTACCAGCTTCCCCTTGAGAAGGGGAGATCAGATGTTTTTTTGTTACCATGCCTCAGACTTCAGAAAAGCTTTTCCAAGAATGGCTGTTTCAACAACCAAACCACTTGGAGGCCAATGAATGGACCACCTGTGCTCAGATTTGTCCTACTTGTTTTCCTCAATGTTTATTTCCTTTTTAAAACCTGCTTTTGGAAAGTATCTTAAGTACTTATTACCATTTAGATGTAAATCACTGTTTAAGTCACTTTTGAAATATTACCATTCCCAGAGGAATTTTTGTTTAACAGGGATAAAAACTTTAAGCCCAATTTAATTCAAGAAGTATCTTTTGAGTGAGTCAAAACAAACAAAACACTGACCTATCTTTTAGGTCAGTCATTGTTTTTAGTATTGGGATTGCAGTGATAAATAAGATATAGTCTTTGACCTTAAGGAATTCAGTCTAGTAAAGGAAACTGACTCTAATGTAGATACAGTACAATTATGTCTGATATAAGCAACAGTGGAAGAACATTTTATCAAATGCCTGGTATATACTAGGCACTGTGTGAGATACCGAGGATATAAAAATCAACAAGAACCAATCCCTAGTCTCAGAGTTCACTGGGTGAGATAGACAATTATAATACTGAGTGATAAATTCTTTGATGGAATTAAATACCCAGAGCTTTGAGAACACAAAGGAAGTATTGTGTTTAAGGAATTGAAAATAGTTGGGTATGGTTAAATTATAAAGTACCAAGGATATTTATTATCTCTCCAAAAACATTTTGGGTATCAATAGAAAAACTGTCTTTCTACATGGCCCTGAAATCAAATGAAGTTTATTATCAACACAGCTCGTTATTGTCCACTTTATTCACAAAACATTTGAGTGTGCCCACCTCATTTGAAGAACTTTAAACTATATTGAGTAAAGCCAACGGCCAACTAGAAACTAAAAGAAGGGTTTCTGGTCACATAGCAATCTTTAGCCAAATTTCCAATGCCAGCAATACCATGTTTTCCTTTCCCTTTCCCTTTCTCATTGAGTAAACAAGATAGTCATTTTTTGGCTGAATCTCAAAGAGATTAAAAAGAAAAAAAAAACAGGGCGCCTGGGTGGCTCAGTTGGTTAAGCGACTGCCTTCGGCTTTCAGCTCAGGTCATGATCCCAGGGTCCTGGGATCGAGTCCCGCATTGGGCTCCTGGCTCAGCGGGGAGCCTGCTTCTCCCTCTGACCCTCTCTTCTCTCATGCTGTTTCTCTCTCGCTCGCTCTCTAATAAATAAATAAATAAAATCTTTAAAAAAAAGAAAAAAAAAACATATGGGCACCTGGGTGGCTCAGTCAGTTAAGCATCTGCCTTCGGCTTGGGTTGTGATCGCCAGACCCTGGCTCCCTGCTCATCGGGAAGTCTGCTTCTCCCTCTCCCTCTGCTGCTTCCCCTGCTTGTGCTCTCTCTCTCTCTGTCAAATAAATAAAATCGTTTCAAAAAAATACAATGAATTCTGAATGAATATTGTGCAGCCATTATTTACATAGAATAAAGTTAATGTATATTAAGTGAAAACCAATTTCAAAACAATATACAAAATTTTGCAAAAGAGGAGATGTATATATAAATACCTGTGTATTTATGCATAGATTTTAAAAAACTGTAACAGTATTCCTGGGTAGTAGCATTAATGGGTATATTAGTTTTCTGTTGCTGCATGACAAATTACCACAAATTTAATGAGTTAAAACAATATCCATTTATTAGCTCACAGTTCTGTGGATTAGAAGTCCAACAAGGTATGGTTGGATTTTCTGTTTAAGGTATCCGATGTCGGTCAAGCTAAATTCTTATCTGGAAGCTCTGGGGAAAAAATGCATTTCCAAGTTCATTCTTGTTGACTGAATTCAGTTCCTTGCAGTCATAGGACTGAGGTCCCATTTCCTTGCTGACTATCAGCTCAAGCCACTCTTAGCTTCCTACAGGCCACTGCATCTCTTGCCATGTGGTCCCCTCAATCTTCAAGACAGCGATGATACATTAAATCTTTCTCATGCTTCAAATCTCTGATGTCATAACCTGCAAATAGCCAAAGAAAACTCTGCTTTTAAAAGGTTTGGGCAACCAAAATGATCTCCCTGTCTTAAGGTTGACTGATTTGGAACTGTAATACTACATCTGTAAATCCCTTTAAAGCAGTACCTTTAGATGAGTGTTTGAATCAGAGAGAAGATATATGTACACTGGAGTTGGGAATCTTGGGGGGAACTGTCTTAGGATAGTTGGTTGATAGAATGGTTTATCTTTATTTTCTTCTGGTTTAGTTGTATTTTCACTGAACATATTATTTCGGGTCTTTTTTTTTTTTTTCCACTTTGTAAGCTATATTTTGAACTCCTTGTACTAACAAATGTTAGATGTTTATGGATCTTCTTGGCTTCTTTTTTTTTTCTTGGCCTAACCACCATATCATCATCATCTTCTCTTCCTTCTCCTCCTCCTCCTTCTTTCTTGAGAGAGAGTGCATGTGTGCATATGTATGCAGGGCAGGGGGCTGAGGGCTGGGGGAGCAAAGAGAGAATCCAAAGCAGTCTTCATGCCCAACACAGAGCCCAAGGTGGGGCTCCATCCACAACCCTGAGATCATGATCTGAGTAGAAACAAAGGGTTGGACATCCACCCAACCAACTGAGCCACCCAGGTGCCCCTATATCTTCTTTCTTTTCAGAAGCTATAAAACTCTTAAGAGAATGGACGGACACTTGGTGTCTAGTCTCAGTTACCTCCAAAGCAACTCTGGAACCTCAGGAAAAAAAATATTTCCCACAGTTCCTTGGAATAATGCCAGTGGCCCTAAGCTTTTAAAAAGATGTCCAAGAACTAAAGTGGGGTCATATATTAGTATGGTGATTAAAATCATAGGATGTGGGGCGCCTAGCCGGTACAGTTGGTGGAACATGAAACTCTTGATCTCAGGGTTGTGAGTTCGAGCCCCACATTGGGTGTGGAGATTACTTAAAAAACTAAAATCTTTAAAAAAAATAACGAAATTATTGGCTGTGAAATCATTCTCGTTATACAGTGTGTATAACTTGGGCAAGTTACTTATCCTCTGTGCCTCAATTTTCTTCATCTGGAAGATGAAGGAAATAGTAGTATCCATCTCAGAGAATTGTTAGGAGGATTAAATGAGTGAATATATATAATATACATAGAGTAGTGCCCAGCATGTGTTTAAGAGTTCAATAAATTATTATTGCTGTTATTGTTATTTTTACTCAGGAATGGGATAAATTTTACTTATCAGAAAGTCTGAAGACTTCATCCTGACTTTTCTATTAACCTGCTGTATGATCTTAGATAAGTCATGGAAATTTTTTGGCATTTTTCATAAAAGTATAAATCTGGAATAGATTATCACTGTAGCTTCTAACAGTTTAGCTGGTATACTTGTTAGTGTTTTTTGGATAATAGTGACATTAACTATTACAAATAATAAAAGAATTCATTATGGTATCTGGATACAAAAATAATTATGTAGACATTATTAACTTTAATATGTACAAAAACCCGTTGGAAGAGTCAGTGCATTCATGTAATGACTCCCATCACATAACAACTCTGGAGAGATTGACCTCCCTCCAGAATAGACTTCACTGCTGTAATGCCAACATTTAAAACAATCCCATCATAGAAGCTCAGTAAACATTTATTGTAAAGTGAGGGTCCTCAAGAAATTCTCAAGCTAGTGGGAAAAGCAGACGGGTAAGTCATTACAATATACTATGTTAAGTCCTGTCATAGAAGGAAAAGTGCTGAATATTGCAAGTGTTGCTGTTGGAGTTTAGATTTTCCATGTTCTGCTTTTGCCTTCTACAGCTCTGTTAGAACAAGGCAATAAACTGCGTAATGCCATGGTGATTTCTACAATGAAATCAAGCCCAGATACTAGCATGTTGTTGGATGAGGTTCATCCTCCTATGAAGGAAGATTTTCTTAAAGCCTCAACACAGTAAGTTACAGGATAAACATGATTCCTAACAGTTCATTTCTTAATTGTTGCTAATGTATATTTTTTGTTAAGTTATAAATTTATTCAGCAAATAATTCTCTTTTTTTGCAGACAAGTATCCTTCCTTTATTTATTTATTTTTTTAATTTTCAGCAAATAATTCTTTTTTTTTTTTAAAGATTTTATTTATTCATTTGAGAGAGAGAATGGGAGAGAGAGCACGAGAGGGGGGAGGGTCAGAGGGAGAAGCAGACTCCCTGCTGAGCAGGGAGCCCGATGCGGGACTCGATCCTGGGACTCCAGGATCATGACCTGAGCCGAAGGCAGTCGCTCAACCAACTGAGCCACCCAGGCGCCCCCTCAGCAAATAATTCTTAATGTGGTGGAAAGGAAGCCTAAACTGGAGTTTAGATACTCAAAATCTAGATGTACTGGCACTTGCTAAATGGGTAAATGGCTAAATTCTTTGCTCCCTGTGAACTGGCATGCTTATATGTATAATGGGGATATTCTCTCCTCTCTCTCTTACAGAAATGAAATTAGAGACTAAGGTAGAAAAGGGCTTTGTAAATTGTGAGATTTTATATATCTTTAAGGTAGTTAAGTCGGAAGGATCTTAAGTGTTCCATGTTGAACCATCTCCATGTACTATCTCTTAGCTCAGTTAATTCTGATTTAGATTTTTCCTGTATGTTAGCCACTTAGAAAGTACTTTTCCACACCACAGAATCAAAGCCTTGTCTAGGAACCAGTTTAAAGACCACATAGAAGATCACCTCCTCCCTCCAACTGAGAATACATTTTGGAAACATGACACAAAAGATGATACCAGAGCTATACAGTTGCTATTGGGCAGGTAAGGACTTTTAACTATCTTTCTTCCTTTTAAATTCTTCCTTCAATTCATTGTGTGTGGTTTTTTTTAAGAATTTATTTATTTAGGGGCACCTGGGTGGCTCAGATGGTTAAGCGTCTGCCTTCGGCTCAGGTCATGATCCCGGGGTCCTGGGATCGAGTCCCGCATCAGGCTCCCTGCTCAGTGCAGAGCCTGCTTCTCCTTCTCCCTCTGCCATTCCCTCTGCTTGTGCTCTTCTATCTCTCTGTCAAATAAATAAATAAAATCTTTAAAAAAAAAAAAGAATTTATTTATTTATTTGACAAAGAGAGACATAGTGAGAGAGGGAACACAAGCAGGGGGAGTGGGAGAGGGAGAAGCAGGATTCCCGCTGAGCAGGGAGCCCATGCGGGACTCGATCCCAGGACCCTAAGTTGAAGGCAGACGCTTAATGACTGAGCCACCCAGGTGCCCCTCATTGTGTATATTGTTAACAGATTTATCTTCTGAAAGCAGCACTTCCATGGGGTAGCCAAATCATTCCCTTGGTTACTCATTGCATACTAAATAAAAATCACTATTTATTACCTACGAAGTAAAAATCTAGTCTTTAGCCTTTTATTCTTAGCTTCACTTACAGAATGGTCTCCAGCTCACCTTTCCATTCTTATCTCCCAGCTTTATCCCCAACACCATTATTAGGGTATAATTTTAAAAACTCAGATTTTAGGGGCTCCTGGGTGGCTTAGTCAATTAAGTGTCCAACTCTTGGTTTCGGCTCAGGTCATGATCTCAGGGCTGTGAGATCGAGCCCCCTGTTGGACTCCACCTCAGCAGGCAGTCTGCTTGAGAATCTTTCTCTCTCTCTTCCTCTGCTCCCCGCCCCCCCACACACTCTCTCTCTCAAATAAATTAATTTTTAAAAAAACCTCAGATTTTAAGCAGACACATGTTAATTCAGGGTCTTATTATGTCTCTTATGTAACCTATGTTGCCTATGTAACTAGGCAGGAAAAAAAATAAAAGGGATCCAAATTGGAAAGGAAGAAGTACAACTATATTCACAGATGACATGATCTGGCATGTAGAAAATCGTAAAGAATCCACTGAAAAATATTAGAACTAACAAATTCTGGAAGATGGCAGGATATAAGATCAATACAGAAAAATCAATTGTGTCTCTGTATACTTGCAATGAACAATCCAAAAATGCAATTAAGAAACAATTCCATTTATAATAGCAGTAATAAGAATAAAATACTTAGGAATAAATTTAACAAAAGAAGTGCAAAACATAAACTCTGCAACTGCAAAACATTATTAAAAGAAATTTTAAAAGATGTAAGTATGTAGAAAAATCCCATGTTCATGATTCAGTGCAATCCCTATTAGTATTGCAGCTGACTTCTTTGTAGAAATTAATAAACTGATTCTAAAATTCCTGTGAAATTGCAAGGGACCCAGAATAGCCCAAACAGTCTTGAAAAAGAGAAAAGTAGGGGGATTCACATTTCTCTATTTTATTTTTAAAGATTTATTTATTTATTGGGGGGGAGGGGCAGAGGGAGAGAATGGTCTTAAGTAGACTCCACACTAAGTGAGGAGCCAGATGCAGGGCTCGATCTTACTACCCTTACTGCCCTGAGATCACAACCTGAGCCAAAACCAAGAGTTGTATGCTTAACTGACTGCACCACCCAGATGCCCCTGACACTTCCTTATTTTAAAACTTAGTACAAAGAAACAATAATCAAGTCCATTTGGTACTGACGTAAGGGCAGACATATAAATCAATGGAATAGAAATGAGTTTAGAAATAAACCTATGTCAGACAAACCATGAGACTCTGGACTCCAGGAAACAAACTGAGGGTTACAGAAGGGAGGGGGAGGGAGGGATGGGGTAGCTGGGTGATGGGTATTAAGAAGGGCACGTGTTGTAATGAGCACTGGGTGTTTTACACAACTAATGAATGAATGAATGAATCGTTGAACACTACATCAAAAACTAATGATGTACTATATGTTGGCTAACTAAACATATAGAAGGAAGGAAGAGGAAGGAAGGAAGGGGAAGGAAGAGAAGGAACACAGAATGGGAGAAAATATTTGCCAATCTGATAAAGGATTTATATCTAGAGTATATAAAGAACTCATACAACTTAATAATTAAGCGACAAATCATTCAATTAAAAATATGGGCAAAGGATCTAAATAGAGATTTCTCCCAAGAAGATAGTGAAATGGCTAATATACACATAAAAAGATGTCAGCACCATTAGTTCTCAGGGAAATGCATATCAAAACCACAGTGAGATACCACGTCATAAGCACTGAGATGGCTTGAATCAAAAAATCAGTAAAATTGGTGAGGATGTGGAGAATTTGGAACCCTCATACACTGCTCACAGCAGTGTAAAATGGTGCAGCTACTTTGGGAAATAGTTCATCACTTCCTCAAACTGTTATATATATACTAGCAATTCAGCTCCTAGGTATACACCAAAGGGAAATGAAAAATAAATCCATGCAAAAATGTGTACATGAATTTCCATAGCAGCATTATTCATTATAGTTAAAAATGTTCATGAGACAATGAATGGGAAAGAAAAAAAGTGATATATCCATAAAATGTAATATTACTTGTCCAGAAAATGGAATAAAGTACTGATAACATGCTGTAGCATAGGTGAACATTGAAAACATGTTGAAAGAAAGAAGCTAGTCACAAAAGAGAACATGTTTTATGAGTCCATTTATATGAAACATACCAAATAGACAAATCTGTAGAAAAGAAAGCAGATTAGTGGGTTTTTCAGGGCTGGGTATGATGGGAGGGTAAGTGGTAATAGCTAATGGGTAGAATTTCTTTTTGAGGTGATGAATATGTTTTTAAAGTGACTCTGGTGATAGTTGTTCAAATCTGCAAATACACAAAAAACTACTGAATTACTGACTTTAAATGAGTGAATTGTATCTTATGTGAATTATGTCTAAACGAAATTGTTTTTTAAAACTCCCAACACAGTACTATATAGTCAGGAGGGAACCCCCAAGTCCTGACTTCTTAAAGAGTGAAGGACTTGGACCCCATATTTAGTTCCTCAACTTTTAAGCCTCCCTCTAGAGATATGGGCTCCAAAAACACTTTGTTCTGAAAGCCAGTGGGGCTTGCATTCATGGGACTCAAAATAATACATACTTTCCCAGCTACTATTTGAGGGTTCAGCTTCCAATCAGCCTGCATCTAGGCACTGACTTTGATCCTCCTGTTTGGGACGTTGGTGGGTCTTTGCATACCCTCAACTACTGGGAGCTACTAAGAACAAAGGAGGAGGCTTGGACAATCAGAAAAGTTTATGAGGCAAGTAGGGGCTTGGGAGCCAGACTAATTGATGAGATTCATCTCCTACTGTCAAGAATAGAAACAGGTCAGGACTGTCTGTCAGGACATTATGACAGGACTGAGACAGGTGACTGTTTTGTCTAATATGTAGAATTCAACAGAGAAAGTCAAGGATAATGAAGAAACAAAAGAATATGTTCCAAACAAAAGGACAGAATAAATATCCAGAAACAGATCTCAATGAAGCAGAGATAAGTGGGTTACCTGACAGGGAATTAAAAATAACAGTCATAAAGATGTTCACTGAGGTTAGGAGAACAGTTACATGAACCAAGTGAGAATTTCAGCAAAGAAACAGAAAATTTTTTAAAGTACCAAACTAATCATAGAACTGAAGAACACAATAACTGACTGAAAAATTCAAGAGGGTTCAACAGCAGACTAGATCAATGGGAAGAAAGAATCAGCAAACTCAAAGACAAGGCAGTGGAATTCAGTCAGAGATACAAAAAGAAAAAAGAATGATAACATAAGGGACTTAGAAACCAAGAGATCAATATACACATTATAGGGGTCCCAGAAGAAGAAGGAGAGAGAGAGAAAGGGGCAAAAATATTCAAAGAAATAATGGCTGAAAATTTCCCTAACCTGGGGAAAGAAACAGACATCCAGATCCAGGAATCCGAGAGTTTTAAGTTAGATGAATCAAAGGAGACCCATACTGAGACACAATATAATTAAATTGTCAAAAGTTACAAGGAGAGAATCTTAAAAGTAAGGAGAGAAAAGCAGCTTGTTACTGACAGGGCACACTCCATAAGACTTTTAGCAGATTTTTCAGCAAAAACCCTACAAACTAGGGGCGCTTGGGTGGCTCAGTTGGTTAATCCAACTCGTGATTTCAACTTGGGTCATGATCTCAGAGTCATGAGATAGAGCCTAGTGTCGGGCTCCATGCTCAGTGGGGAATCTGCTTGAGCTCCTCTCTCTCTCTCCTTCTGCGCCCCCCCCCACCTCTCTCAAATAAATAGGTAAATCTTTAAAAGCAGTGGGATTATATATTTGAAAGTGCTGAAAGAAAAAGAACTGCCAACTAAGAATACTCTATCTGGCAAAGTTATTCTTCAGAATTGAAGGGAAGATAAAGAATTTTCCAGACACACAAAAGTTGAAGGACTTAATGACCGTTAGACTAACCTTACAAAAAACATTAAAGGAAGTTCTTCAAGCTGAAAAAAAGGGATGCTAAGTAGTAACAAGAAAACATACAAAATTCTAAAACTCATGGCTAAAGGGAAATATATAGTTAAATTGAGAATACTGTAATATTACAATGGCGGTGGGTAATTCACTTATAAATCTAATATGAAGGTTAAAAGACAAAGTATTAAAAATAAATACAACTAGGGGCGCCTGGGTGGCTCAGTCGTTAAGCGTCTGCCTTCAGCTCAGGTCATGATCCCAGGGTCCTGGAATCGAGCCCCGCATCGGGCTCCCTGCTTGGTGGGCATCCTGCTTCTCCCTCTCCCGCTCCCCCTGCTTGCGTTCCCTCTCTCACTGTGTCTCTCTCTGTCAAATATATAAATAAAATCTTTAAAAAAAAAAAATACAACTATAATAATTTGTTAATGGATACACAATATAAAGCTACAAACTGTAACATCAAAATTGAAAATGAGGTATGGGAGCTTTTATATGTGTTTTAGGTTATCACCCTAAAATAGGCTGTTATAAATATGTAAGCCTTATGGTAACCACAGAGCAAAAATGTATAGTAAATATATAAAATATAAAGGAATTGAAACAGGCCACTACAGTGAATCATCAAATCATAAAGGAAGAGAGCAAGAAAGGAACTACAAATCAACCAGGAAGCGGTTAACAAAATGATAGTATTAAGTTCATGTCTATCAATAATTGTTTTAAATGTAGGTGGACTAAAGTCTCCAACCAAAAGACAGAGTACTGAATGGATAAAAACACAAGACCCAACTATATGCTGCCTACAGGAGACTTTAAGGACTTATAGGCTCAAATTGAAGGGATGGATAGAGATATTCCATGCAAGTGGAAACCAAAGGAGAGTTTGGGGTAGCTATTGTTACATCAGACAAATAGACTTTAAGCCAAAAACTGTAACAAGAGGTAAAGAAGGTCATGATATAATGATAGTTGGTCAATTCATCAAGAGAATATAACTGTAAATATTTATGCACCCACCACAGGAGCAGCTAAATACATAAAGCAAATGTTAGTAGATCTGAATGGAGAAATAACAGCAATACAATAATAGCAGGGAACTTTAATGTCCCACATCCCACAATGGATAGATCATCCAGACAGAAAATAAGGAAATACTGGACTTAAATGACACAAACCAGATGGACCTAATATATACATATACATACAGAACTTTCCATCTAACAGCAGCAAAATACATATTTTTCTCAAGCACACATGGAACATTCTCTGTGATAAATCATATACTGGGCCATAAAACAGTTATTAATACATTTAAGGAGATTAAAATAGCAGGCATTTTTTTCTGACCACAGTAGTGTGAAATTAAAAATCAATTACAAAAAGAAAACTAGAAAATTTACAAATATGTGGAAATTAAACAACATGTTCCTGAACAACCAGTGGGTCAAAGAAGAAATCAAAAGGGAAATCAAAGTAACTTGAGACAGAGGAAACTGGAAACACAATATACCAAAAGTTATGGGATGCAGCAAAAGCAGGTCTATGAAGAAAATTTATAGCATAAACATGTACATTAAAAAACAAGAAAGATCTCGGGGCGCCTGGGTGGCTCAGTTGTTGGGCGTCTGCCTTTGGCTCAGGTCATGTGGAATTGAGCCCCACATCGGGCTCTCTGCTTGGCGGGAAGCCTGCTTCTCCTTCTCCCACTCCCCCTGCTTGTGTTCCCTCTCTCGCTGTCTCTCTCTCAAATAAGTAAATAAAAGCTTAAAAAAAAAAAACAATAAAGATCTCAAGTTAAATAACTAAATTTATACCTCAAGGAACTTAGAGAAAGAACAAACTAAGCCCAAAGTTAGTGGAAGGAAGGAAAGAACAAAGATCAGAGTGGAAATAAATGAAATAGACTACAAAGACAATATAAAAGATCAATGAAACTAAGAGCTGGGTTTTTTTTTTTATAAACTGTTAGACTTACAAAGACAAAAAGAGAGGACTTAAAATTACAAATGAAATTGGAGACATTATAACTGATACCACAGAAATACAATCATAAGAAACTACCATGAAAAATTATATGCCAACAAATTGGAAAACCTAGAAGAAATTGGTAAATTCCTGGAAGTATACAACTATCAAAACTGAATCATGAAGAAACAGAAAACCTGAACAGACTTATTAAAGAGATTAAATGAGTAATCAAAAACCTCCTAGCAAACTGAAGTCTAAAACCAACCAGATGGCTCCACTAATGAATTCTACCAAACATTTAAAGAACTAGTACCAATCCTTCTCAAACTTTTCCAAAACATAGAAGGGAACACATCCAAACTCATTTCACAAGGCCAGCATTACCTTGCTACTAAAGCCAGACAAAGACACTACAAGAAAAGAAAATTATGGGCTAGTATCCCTGATGAACGTAGATGCAAAAGTCTTCAACAAAATAGCAAATACACTCAACGGTACATTAAAAGGATCATATACCATCGTAAGGAGAATATGTTCCAGGGATGCAGGAATGGTTCAACATCCACAAATCAATAAATGTGATACCCTGTATTAACAAAATGAAGGATAAAAGTCATATGATACTCTCAATAAATGCAGAAAAAGCATTTGACAGAATTCAACACCCATTCATGATAAAACCTCTCAACAAACTAGGTATAAAAGCCATGTACCTCAGGCGGCTGGGTGGCTCAGTCAGTTAAGCGTCTCTTGGTTTGGGCTCGGGTCATGATCTCAGTTGGCTCCATGTTCCAAGTCTGCTCCTCTCCCCGCTCTCACTTTCTCTCTCTGGAAAAAATAAAATCTAAAAAAAAAAAAGCAGTGTACCTCAACATAACAGAGGCCATACATGACTAGCCCACAACAAACATCATAGTTAATGATGAAACACTGAAAGCTTTTCCTGTAAGATCAGAAACAAAAGATGCTTGCTCTCACCACTTTTATTCAACATGGTCTTTTAATGTGCCATAGACAGTAGAATAAGTTCAAAGAAGTGTTAATTGAAAAACTGAACAGTGGAGATCTTCATAACTTTAAGGGTGTGCAGTGAAGGGGAAAAAAGAAGTAACTGAGTGAGGGGAACAATAAATAGCAAATGATATGTAAAATGCCAAGAAGTAGAGCTTCAAAAAGGAGCAGTGCTCAGGAGCTAGAGAAACCCTGTGGATTAGGAAGTTGTTAGTTGAGTTGTAGCAGTTAGGGAGTTGTTCTCACCTTTGAGAGAGAGATTTCTATAGATCAGTAGTTCTCAACTGGAGGGGCAGTTCTCTTGTACTCCCAGCCCCATGGTACATTTTGTAATGTCTGGAGACATTTTGGGTTATCAAAATTGAAGAACTACTGGGATCAGATGAGTAGAGGGATCTAAAATGTACAGGATAGCTCCCAATGACCAAGAATTATCTGACCCACCATCTAAGTAGTGCTAAATTTGAGAAACCCTGCTATAGATAAAAAAAAAAAAAAAGTGAGGAAAGGAACATTTATTATGTTTGTTCCAGGAAACTTAGGAACAGGATCTAATTTGAAGGTAATAATTATGTGCTATTCTCTTGAGAAATTAAGGGGATGGGGCACCTGGCTGGCTCAGTTGAAAGAGCATGCGACTCTTGATCTCGGGGTCATGAGTTTGAGCCCCACACTGGGTGTAGAGATTACTCAAATTTTTAAAAGAAGAAGAAAAAAGGGGGAGAAAGTATAGCAGCTAGCATGAAAGGGAAGCAAAGTTGAAAGAATAACTGAAATGCTTAGCACGGTGCCTGGTACATATAATAAATATTGCTTTTATGATTAATAACATGTTCATTAAGAATTCAATAAGTTCATTTACAGATGTCTGTTCAGTACCAGTTATTTTAGGAGAAACAAAAATGAATGAAGTATACACATACTTGTATGCTTATATTCCTTATTAATTTACAAACTTTTTATAAGTAGGGTTTCTGTTTTACTCATTTCTGTATCACACATGGAATTAATCTTGCCATAAATAACCCTAAATACACATATTTTTGCTTAATGGAAGAAGCCATATTTATGAATTCTTCACAAAAACAGCATGAGCATTCAACTCATTGAATTATAGTTAATTCTTTACCTTCTTTTCATCCTGCTAGATCATAAGCAGTGCAAGAGTAGAGCAAGTTAGTTTAACCATCTCTGTATCATTCAAGACCTAACACCATGCCTGGCACATAATAGGTGCCCAGAAAAGAAAAATGTTTGTTAAATAAATGAATGAGATCATAATCAGTGTCAGTAGTGTATTTTTGAATACTAGCTGTTGGCATCCCAGAGGAGGGAGAATATAATATGAAAATATTTATCAGGTAGTCTTCTATCTAATGTGAGTCTTCTGCTTAACATATCTTCTTTCATGTCTAGAACTTTAGAAAGTTTTCAGTTAGAAAAATATAGCTCAACTGAAACTTCTTTTAATGTCCTTCTGCTTTGTTTTTCTTACCTCTACAGTGCTGAATTATCCCAAGGTCAGTACTGGAATGGGCTAGGCTCTCCTCCAGATTCCCCATCTCCTGGGAGTGATGTGTATTGTAGCAGTGAGCTGAATGATCCTCAGTATGACCAGAGTCTCCTGGAGAGCTTATTTTACACGGCACCTGTAAGTAATTGAATCTGCAGCTTTGGAAATTAGAGAACAAGACTATTAATAATATTATTAGGTGCAGGCATGTTACCACTTGCCAGACAGAAAGCTATCCATTTTACATATGTCATTTTACAGATGAGGAGACAGGCCTAGCAAGGTTAAGAATTTTAGGGGTGCCTGGCTGGCTCAGTTGGAACAGCATGCGACTCTTGATCTCAAGGTTGTGAGGTCTAGCCCCACATTGAGTATAGAGCTTACTAAAAAGAAAAAAAAAGTGTTTAGAGAGAAAGAGAGAGGATATAAAATGGGAATAGAAAGACCCGTCTAGAGAAGTAATTTGTGCACCACAAGGGATCTCATTTGAACTGATGAGAATTGATGTGGAAAAGTCATCATCAATAAGGCAAGCTAGCATATTGCAACCAGTCTGTGAAAGCCTTTGAATGTCAAGTGAGGAGAAATGACATGATCAAAACGGTGGTTAAGGAACGTTAATCCAGCAGTGATGTAGGAAGCTATTAGGGGAGAATACCTGAAAGCAGATAGGAAACCATTGGGTTATTGGAGGTGTCTAGGAGAGTGGCAGCAATGGGATTGGAAAGGAAGAGATGAATTTAAAAGATATTATGAATTATTAGGATTTCATGACTTCCTATTTTAAAAATCATCACTGACACTCTGTTACTTGTGGGATAAAAAGAAGAGAGAATTTACATTTATTACACATTTTTGATGTGCTAGGGAATTTACATGTAATCTGTTATTTTTGAGTACTGTGCCAAATGTTTTAAATTCATTATTTCATTTAATTCTTTTTCTAGCCCTATAAGATATTGTTATCTTTTACATATGATATAAACGCTTATAGGTGTTAATTAATTATAATTAATGACATCATCTCATAAGCCTTAAGTATGGCATTAGAATCTGATCTTGACTTACTTCCCTAACCTTATCTCCCACATTTGCCCTTTACCCTTCAGTCATACTGATTGTCTCATCACTCCCCAAATATTCTAGCTCTTTTTTTATCTTTATATTTTTTGCTCATAGTGATCCTTCTACTTTGAGTGTTGAAATACTTTTATACATCTGGTAAACTCTATTCTTCAAAAATCAATTGATCACCTCTGTGAAGAAACCATCCTAGACTTCCCCAAGCAGAATTTATTGCCTGGATGTCCACAGGATCCTGGGACATTCAGGCAATGTTGTAGGATACAGTTCCTCAAGAACAAGAACATGTCTGCATTATCTTTGTATTACCAGTACAACAAAGCCTGATGGATATTGAATACTCAGTGAGTACTTAGTGAATAAAGGAGTGAGTTTATAAATGGCACTAAGTAATCCCCCATGCTATTTGAACAAAATAATTTTAGAAAAGATTTGTTGTTGGGAAGGAGTGAACCAATAGACCATGATGCAATGGAAAGATCAAGGAGTTAGAATGCACATGTCCTTCCCCAGGGTTTGATATTCTTAATATTGAATAACATCCACAGCTTAGAAATTCAGCATTATTAGCCTGTGTTTTTGGTTCCTAAAATTCTTAGCTTTTGAACCATCTAGTATATTTACTCTAATTTCCTTCAGGCTGTGGACCCATTTAGATTTTGAATGCCTTGTCTATAACCATTTTTAAAAGCGGCCACTTAATAAAGAAAAACCTAAGAGCAAAAAGCTTTGTAATTTCACCTTGAAAAAGTTGTACTTCTTCCTTGAAGGACATTCTGATCGTGCTTATTTAACTATTAATTTGTTACCCTTGTCATAGGTCAATACAGTGTACACCCTGAGATGCTGAAAAAAGGGGGTGGAGGTGATAAACTTAAAATGACATTGGATTAGGGGCGCCTGGGTAGCTTAGTTGGTTAAGTGTCTGCCTTCGGCTCAGGTCATGGTCCTGGGGATCGAGCCCTGCATTTAGTTCCCTGTTCAGGGGGGAGCCTGCTTCTCCCTCTCCCTCTGCCTGCCACTCCCCCTGCTTGTGTTCTCTCTCAAATAAATAAAGAAATCTTCTTAAAAAAAATGACATTGGATTCCTATCTGCATTTATATTAGCAAGTTTTTTTTTTTTAATTTGAAACCAAATAAGTATAACACTGTCTTCTCTCTTTATTTTGCATTTTGTGATAGAAAGGGCTGATCAGTTGATTGTGGTAAGCTACCTTTTCTCTAAGTAAAATTTAATTACAAGGGACTTAACAACTGGTTCCCCATTAAGAAAATTTGTGACATAATAAACCGTTCATCTTAGCAAGAGTAAGAGTAGAATAAATCACTTAGTAGTATGGAGTGGTGAAAAAAGATGGAGTCTTTGCATCCATATAGTTAGGTGACATTGTACCATTTTGCCTCAAACTGTGGTAGAAAGATAGGCTTTGGAATCTGCCTTTGGTACTAGATACATAGTAGATAGTAAATAAGTAATGATTGTTATTATTGTTAAGAATTTGAAAGAAGAGTCTATTTTCATTTATTTTCTTTGAACCGAACTTGTAGGTTATTTTTATATACCAGGAGAAATGTGGGATTATCTCCCTGGCATCAGTTATCTCTTTAAAAGAATGATATATGTGCAGAGAAGAATTTGATTACTTTTAGAGAAATGTTTTCATTACCACTCTCCCTAAAGCAGTTTTTTTTAAGTGCCTCTCTTTTTGTTTCTTCTCCCCATAGAAATCTGATAGCAGCATCAGTGATTTCTTCAGTGAAGATGATACTGTCCCTTCTAAAAAAATGAACAAGTCAAAAGCTCTTGCCAAATCTCCTAAGGTTGTGGAGTCAAATGATCTTAAGTTGAAGAAAAGGGCAGCGGGCAAGAAAAATAGGTGAGCCTCTCCATGATGGCTTATTTAGAGGCAAAAAAGCAAAGGAAGATTTTCACAAGATCTCCTAAAGTAAAAAGTAAATGATCTGTTTTTGCCCAACACTATCACCCTGGTTAAGTGAATTACAATAGTTCACTAAGTATTAAGTCTTTAAAAGTATAATGATATGAAAAGATGGATACAATAAAATAGTTAAGAGAGAAAGCAGAATTCTAGGTTGAATGTGTGCTGTACTACACTGTAGAAAATACGCATAAAGAAAGCAAATGAAAAGGAATACACAGAAGTGATGATAGTAGTTATTTAAAGTAGTAGGTTAACTGAGGTGTAATGTCTGTAGCCCATGAAAGAAAACCTAATTCTATAACATCAGTTTCTGTACTTACGTGGAGATAAGCCTTTAGATTGAAGAATGGTTTTACTTTTTTTTTAATTTCTTTCACTGTGGGTTAGGACAAGAATTCTGTTGATTAAAGTCATTTCTCAGTCCTTGATAACTTGTGAATTAAGATACTTGCTGCCCTTCCTCTTTCCTCTTCCTGCCTGTGCAAACTAGATCCTTTCATGTTGGGTCTTGGACTGTCTGTTTCACTGTCTATATGAACTCCTTTCAGAAATTTGGTTGAACAACAAATGATACCAGAAACTCCTGAAGATACCCAAGTGATGACACTAAGTGTGGATAAATTGGCCCTTTTGGGTAGAACACATTCAGTCAGAATCATCATTGAAACAATGGGAGTTCCTCCAGATAGTCCTCAGATGACCTCTGGACAAAAAAGTTTTTCTGGCAGACCACCTAAGCTGACAGCAACAAAAAAGCGGTATGTCTCTTACATGGAAAAGCTAAATTTGACATTTCTGGAAAGTGTGTGGTGGTAATAGTAATAATAAAATAAATAATTATATAACATTTTATGATTTATAAAGTACTTTCATATGAATCAGTCAACAAAAATGTAGTGAATTCCTCCCTGGGTTTCAAGGCCAATACTAGGTAAGTGTGAGAATAAAGGAAATTGAGACCCTGACTCTGTTGTTATACACTTTACAGTCAGCACAAGACAGACACATTTAAAAGGCTGTAGGATGCAAAATAGATATTTTATATTAAAAATGCTGTGGAAAATTTGTAGACGTACTGTGATCATTTTCCATCTTTTACAAATATCAAATCATTGTTATATGCCTGAAACTAATATAATGTTATATGTCAATTATGTCTCAATAATAGATAGATAAATGGATAGAGTAAGTGAACTATGCGAGCGCAAGGAAGTTCTGCCTGATAGGATTGGTGAAGGCTTTCAAGAGAACAGATAGGTCCTCTGAGGATCTGAGGTGCTAAAAATAGGACCTTGAAAGATATGTAGGATTGATTAGATAATAAATACATTCATTTGTTATTTGATGTATGTTTTAATGACTTTTTTTGGTTTTGATTTTTAGCACCTTCTTCGTGGAATATCACTTTCCTGTGGGCTTTTCTAAAGGTGGATTGGGAAAGACAGCTTTGATCACCGAGGTTGTTCGACTCGCCTCCAGTAAAATTACAGATGGAAGTAAGAGAGAGACTAGTTTTCTGTTCCTTAGACATTTTTGCTGTGGAAGAATTTTTCAATCCCTAAATATTCATCTGATTTTTATGGTACCACAGAATCATAGAGTTAGAAAGAATTGTGAAGTGAATCTACTCTAATTCCTTTATTTTATAAGTGAGGACACTGGCCCAGAGGTGCTATGACTATCCTGATGCAGGGCAACAGGTCAGTAACATACCTGAGACTAAACTGTAAAACTCCTGATGCTTAGAGCATGTTTGCTCAACTATTGCCTTTTTTTTTCCCCTTTTTTAAAACAACTTTATCAAGATATAATTCACATATTATACAATTGAACTCTTTAAAGTGTTTGTTGAACCCGTTGAAGAATTCCGTGGTTTTTAGTATATACAAAGAGTTTGCAACCATCATGATCTAATTTTAGAACATTTTCATCCCCGCAAAAGAAATCCCTTATGCATTAGCATTCACTCTTCATTTTCCTGTCTCCACCCCCACCCACACTAAACAACCCCTAATCTATTTTCTGTCTATCATTTTACTCATTCTGGACATCTCCTATAAATGGAATCATTAAGTATGTGATTTTTGTAACTGGCTTCTTTGACTTACCATAATATTTTCAAATTTGATCTATGTTATGGCATGTTTCAGTACCTTTTTCCTTATTGTGGCTGTGTAATATTTCATTGTATGGCTATACCACATTTGGTTATCCATTCATCAGCTGATGGGCATTTGGGTTGTTTCTCCTTTTTGGCTATTGTGGATAATGCTTTTATGAATATTTGTGTACACGTTTTTGTGCAGATATATGTGTTCATTTCCCTTGGGCATATACCTAACAGTGGAATTGCTAGGTCATATGGTAACTATATGTTTTAACTTTTTAAAGAACAGCCAGACAGTTTTCATCAGCTGCTCCACTATTTTACATTCCCAGCAGCAGTGTATGGAGGGTTCTAATTCTCCACCTCCTCACCAACCCTGGTTATCTTTCATTATTTTTTATTGTAGCCATCTTAGGGGTTATGAAGTAGTATCTCACTGTGGTTCTGATTTGCATTTCCCAATGACTAATGATGTTGAGTGTGTTTTCCTGTGCTTATTGTTCATTTGTATATCTTAGAGAAATGTCTGTTGGATTCTTTGCCCATTTTTAAGTTTTTATTACTGGGTTGTAAGAATTCTTTATACATCCTGCATATAAGGCCCTTATGAGTTACATATTCTGGATTTAAGACCCTTATGACTTACATATTCTGGATATGAGACCATTGTGAGAGCTATGATTTTGAAATATTTTCTCCCATTAATGGGCTGTCCTTTCACTTTCTTTTTTTTTTTTTTAAGATTCTATTTATTTGACAGAGAGAGACACAGTGAGAGAGGGAACACAAGCAGTGGGAGTGAGAGAGGGAGAAGCAGGCTCCCCGTTGAACAGGGAGCCCGATGAGGGGCTCGATCCCAGTACCCTGGGATCATGACCTGAGCTGAAGGCAGATGCTTAACGCCCCTGTCCTTTCACTTTCTAAATACTTTCATTTATAGCACAAATGTTTTAAATTTTGCTGTAGTCCAGCTTAGTTTTTCTTTTGTTGCATGTGCTTTTGGTATTATCCTTTTTTTCCTATTTGAAGTATTCCTGATACAAAAAAGTAAAAGGGTAATATAATAAACATTTATGTTCCTGTCATCCAAGGTTATATAACTTTCTAAAAGATTTTGTGAATTTCTTTGCCTTGGTTATCCAGTTTGATCTGTGAATGGTTCATCAGTGTTGAATTCCTTCTCTGGGAGGTAGTTTAAGGAGTAAAAGATATGGTCCTAATTCTCCTACGTGTAATTCAAGTAACTTTCCTGTAAATACAGCATGTTAACATTGGATTTTTTAATTTTTATTTTGCTTTGTTTTATTTTTTTAACTAGATATAATCCATTCCCTTGATTCAAAATCTTTGTAGGCAGTGTTGTAAATTTTATATTATTCCTAAGATATTTCATGCATATATAAGCAAATATGTTTATCCTTTTTTGCCTCCCATTTTTATCCAAGTATTAGTGTACCTTATGCACTGTTCTGTACCTTGTCTTTAACAGTGTGTCTTAGTAATTTTTTCATACCAGGACATAAAGAACTCAGTCTTCCAGTCCTTTATGACCACATAATATTCCCTTGTACGAATATGCCATAATTTAAACACCCCCTTTATTGATTAATATATTACTGTTTAGGTTGTTTTCAGTCTTACTGTTAAAAACAGTGCTTCAATACAAAAATTTTGAACATGCATCATTTCTCATTTGATGTGAGTATATCCAGTACAAACATTAAAATTACTTATTTGCTCTTTTTTTTACATTTTTTAATTTTAAATTCAATTTAATTAATATATACTGTATTATTAATTTCAGAGGTTGAATTTAGTGATTCATCAGTTGCATATAACACCCAGTGCTCATTGAGGTACCCTCCTTAATGCCCATTACCAAGTTACCTCATCCCCCGGCCTCCTCTCCCCTCCAGCAGCCTTCAGTTTATTTCCTAGAGTTAAGAGTCTCTCATGGTTTGTATCCCTCTCTGTTTTTATTTTATTTTATTTTTCCTTCCCTTCCCCTATGTTCATCTGTTGTGTTTCTTAAATCCTACATACGAGTGAAATCATATATTTGTCTTTCTCTTACTGACTTATTTCATTTAGCATAATACCCTCTAGTTCTATCCATGGCATTGCAAATATCAAGATTTCATTCTTTTTAATGGCTAACATTCCAGTGTGTGTGTGTGTGTGTGTGTGTGTGTACACATACCACATCTTCTATTTTATCCATTCATCTGTCGATGGACATCTGGGCTCTTTCTGTATTTTGGCTATTGGGGACATTGCTGCTATAAACATTGGGGTGCGTGTGCCCCTTTGAATCACTATGTTTGTATCCTTTGGATAAATGCCTAGTAGTGCAATTGCTGGGTCTTAGGGTAGCTCCATTTTTAACTTTTTGAGGAACCTCCTTACTGTCTTCTAGAGTGGTTGCACCAGTTTGCATTCCCACCAACAGTGTAAGAGAGTTCCCCTTTCTCCACATCCTTGCCATCTGTTTTTTTCCTGTGCTGTTAATTTTAGCCATTCTGACCAGTGTGGGGTGGTATCTCATTGTGGTTTTTTGTTTTTGTTTTTGTTTTGTTTTTTCTCATTGTGGTTTTGATTTGAAAATACTCTTAAAAACAGCACCTAAAGTAATTTAGTATACTTTTTTTTACTAGAATACACTGTTTCACTTTCCCCATCACCTTAAAGGAAGAATTGGGGCATTTAAAATTTTTCATATGTTTACTTCCGGCGTATGCTTAAATTATTGACAGCAACAGAAGCTGCTCTGGAGGTTTGTTCAGAGCATTCAAGAATGTATAATTGATCCTGTTGGCTGAAAGTATGTTTAAGGAGCTTTAATATGCTTAAAACTTATCAAACCCCCACATGCAAGGAAAAATGTTAGATCTTTTTCTCAGGCCTTCCCTTATATCTCCTTCTACCTGTGTGATATCTGATGAGTTTCTCAAAACTTCTTTGAGCCTCAGTTTCCCCATCTATAAAATTGAAATACAGCAAGGACACAGTTCTGATATCTATGAGTTTCAGTTAACATAGTACCTGTAAAGCAAGGACACAAGGGATTGATGTACAGTCAAATGGGACGATGAATGTAAAAACATTAAGCTCTAAAATACTATGTAACTAATAGTACCTCACATTTACTGGGCAGTAAACTACATGCCAAGAACTCTACTCAGTGTTTTATATACATTAACCATTTCATTGATTTTCATACCACAACATAAAAAAACTCCGTCCTTTATGACTGTCTCACTCATAAAACACAGAACAATCAAGTAGCTTGTCTGAGATCATACAACTGGTTTACTAGTGAACTAGAATTTGAACCTAGAACATTTTTTTTAAGATTTTATTTATTTATTTATTGAGGTGGGGTGAGTGGGGGAAGGGGCCTAGGGAAAGGGAGGGAGAGAATCTTAAGCAGGCTCCATACTCAGTGTGGAGCCTGACACAGGACTCAATCCCATGACCCTGAGATCATGACCTGAGCTGAAATTAAGTCAGATATTTAACCAGCTGAGCCACCCTGGTGCCCCTGAATCTAGAACATGTTTTATTCTAATTCATGTGCTCTTAATCTGTATTGCTTTTCAGTTATTATTATTGTTGTTGGCCACAGTGGTTGACTTCTCCCCGTGTCCTTCTGAAAAAGATCACATGGGAAGTGTGGAATAAGCATCAAGCCAGGAATTGGAAGACAGAGTTCTAGTTTTGTTTATACCACATACTAATTGTATGAGCTTAAGCAAAATCACTTTTTTCATCTGTGGGCCTCTTAACAATAACATAGTTTGGACTAGGTATTTTCAAGATAACCTTCCAACTCTTCTATTTTCCTCCCTTCCAAGTCTTAAAAAAAAACTTCTCTGGGACATTGTTCAGCAATTTATTTATAATTTATCTTATTATTGCCTTAACTTGCTTTTAATGGTTAAAAAAAAAAAAAAAGCCATGAGCTTAAGAAACAGAGAATTATGTGAGAAATATAGTTATATAGTACAAAAACGTACCTAGATGGTGAGGAAAAATCCGAGTGAAATAGAGTTCTGTTTGTACAAAAAGGATTTTTCAGTATCTAAAGTGTGTTTTCATCTGTTACCTCAATCCTTCCAACACCAATGAGGTGTAGGTATTGTCTTATTTCCCTTCTCCTGGTAGGATAATCAGGTAAACTGGTCCAGTGGGTGTGGGCTTCCTGGGCGGAGACCTTTTGTTTACAATTCCTGTGTATGGATCCAGATTATAAGACCCAGATCTTATTTATGAGTACCAAGAGAAGTATAGAGTCAAGAATTAAGATGGCAAAGATGAATAAAATTGATCAGTACACCGAAGTGATCAGTTTGAATGAATATCAGAGATAGCAGTTTTCTCTGTAATGGGCCCTTTTGTGAGGGTTTTCCAGATCCATTTTAAGGGTAGAGAAGTGAATGAACAGGAAGATCATTTTGCAGGTGGGAAATTGTGGCCGAGCTGGTCACTAGTAAATAATAGAACTGGAGCTTGACCTTATATTCTTTGATTCTAATCCCAAATTCTTTTTTCATTTTTTAAATCTGTTAAAGCCCCATAGCTGTGAGCACAAACTCAAATACTACTTTATCCCATTTACACTTATTATTACAGCAAAAATCCTTTCCCATCTGTCTAAGAGACAGACATGCCAACTAACATCAGGACCTGGTACCTTGTGTGAATGTGACAGTAGGAGTCTTCTAGTCTTCAGCCAAAAGATAAACTTATTTTCATTACATTTTTTTATTCAGTTCTTCTCTTCATTTATGCCTCATTGTCCCACTGCCAGCCCACACCCTTCTTTTGTTAATACCTACCAACTTGTCTTTTCAAGACAACAAATCAGATTACCTTACAGCCGATGAAGATCTGTCTCTTTTCACATCCTGTAGCAAAACTAGAGCAACATAGCATTGCTTATCTTCTCTGTACTATACCCAGGGTTTTCTCTTTGTCTCTGCTCCTTCAATCCCTACAACCCTAACACTTTTGTGAAATTATGCTTACTAGATTTATTTTTTTTTTCAAGATTTTATTTAATTATTTGAGAGAGAGAGTGTACAAGCACGGGGAGGGACAGCGGGAGAGGGACAAGCAGACTCCCTCCTAAGCACAGAGCCCAACTGACTGCAGGGTGCAATACCAGGACCCCTGAGATCATGACCTGAGCAGAAGTCAGACGCTTAACAGACTACGCCACGCAGGTGCCTGACTAAATTTCTGAAAGAGATTTTAGTTAGATCAAAAGGGAGGTAGGTGGTGTCAAAGCATGGATTGATGATGGCTCTAGTTGGGTGGCCTGACATGTGCTTATGTTTGGTTCTCCTTACAGTGGTGAACTTCCAGCAGCGATTTGTGTTTCCAGTACAGTTTGGTGGCCCAATGATAGAACACTGGTGGAATTCCAACCTCACTTTCCAAATTTACACAAAGAAAACCCCACAGAAAAAGGTACCTCAGTTGATTTTTGACCTTTGCCTTACCATTTATACTAGGGAATTAGTATAATTAATTACACTAATTAATTAATATACTTTACATTGAATCACCTAGCTAATGACTTCTTTCTAATAAAAGAATTGTATGAGCTTTTGGCAGAGAACTTGAGAAAATATTTCCGAAAAGCAAAAATTGTCTATAATCCCATCACCAAGAAATAACTTTGTTAATATTTATGTTTCCCCTTTGTTTTATTTTTTTTTTTCAAATAATTACAATACATGTGTAAATCTTTGGCAGTATTAGGATAATTTTATATACAGTTTTTATCCTGCTTTTTTAAAAATTTAACATTATCTTTATAAATATTTGAAGATTTACTATATATTACTTAACACCCTATTTTTACCAAACATTATAATAAATACTGTTTATATTATTTCAGACTTTTGTAAACATTGTTTTAATGAATACATAGTATTGCATTATAGCAGTGTGCTATAATTAACTTAATAATTCCTGATTATTGGACCTCTGGTTATTTCTAATTGTTAATTTTTAAAATATACATATTTGTGTATAAGCTTTTTATGTACTTGTTACTTTAGTGTAAATTCTCAGAAGTGGAATTACTGGGCTAAAGAGTGAATATTTGAAGCTTTTAATATTTACTGTCAAATTTGCTGTCCAGAAGAATGTTGCCGGTTTATTTTCCCAGCTTCACACATTTATGATAGCCTCTGTTTCTCCATAACCTTGATAGCATCAGATATATTAAGTTTTATAATTTTTCTAGCTTCATGACAAAAATTTGTGTCATCTAAATGTTATTTTTTGTTTTTAATTGTGAGGTTGAATACTTTTTGTAAAGAACTAACTCTTAAAAATAGAAAAAGATTATCTTCCAACCTCTTGGTGACTCATGAAACCCTCTATAATCTTCTAGAGAGAAGTAGTGAAACCCAGGATGGGGACCAAAATGTGGCAGAACATAGGGTTGCCACTTAAAGTTGCTTCAGTCAAATAGTTAAGCTATTTACTCCATAAAGCATGGCTTCCCTTCTAAGCTGTCCTTTGTTGTCAATCCAGTTAAAATCCCCTGTGTCTTGTCTTTAACCTAAATTTTTTTCTCTCTTTCTCTCAGCCAGAAGTCATTGGATCTGCCTCACTGCCTTTACGAACTGTCATTCAGTCTGAGTTGCTTTCTTTCAGTAACCAGCTTCCAGTGCAACAGGAGAATGGTCAGACTCCACTGGGCCCCCTTAAGGTACATAGATACACATTCAGGTAGTCAAGTATTTACGGAGCATGTATTACTGACTAGCACTGAACAAGAAAATCAGGGTCTCTCCTCTTGTAGCTTCTATTAAAATAGGGCAGCAGAGGGGTGCCTGGGTGGCTTAGTCGGTTAAGTGTCTGCCTTTGGCTCAGGTCATGAACCCGGGTTCCTGGGATCGAGCCCCACATCGGGCTCCCTGTTCAGCGGGGAGCCTGCTTCTTCCTCTCCCCGTTGCTTGTGCTCTCTTGCTCTCTCTTTGACAAATAAATAAATAAAATCTTTAAAAACAGGGCAGCAGAATTGCTGTGAAGGAAATAAACAGTACAATGTGAAAGTGAATACCTGGGAGGAAGTAGGGGATGGTGGTCAGAGAAGGTCTAAGAAAGTGACATTTTAGGTAAGATTTGAAGGAAAGGAAGAGGCCACCAAGTAAAAAGTAGAGGGAAGATAATTCCAAAGAAAGGGAATAACACATGCAGAGGCCCTAAAGCAGGAATGTTGCCGTAGGATAGCGAGCCAAGAGGGAGAATGGTAGAAAATTAAAACTGGACAGGCAGGTGGAAGGCATATCATTCAGAGCTTTGTAGGTCTATGTAAATGGTTTAGATTTTATACTAAGAGCCAAGAAAGGACATCAAAGTGTGAGAGTGACAATTGATTTACTTTTTTTTTAAATTTATTTATTTGAGAGGGAGAGAGAATCTGAAGCAGACTTCACACTGAGCATGGAGCCCAATGTGGGGCTCAGTCCCACGACCCTGAGATCACAACATAAGCCGAAACCAAGAGTCAGATGTTTAACCAACTGCACCACCTAGGCGCCCCTGATTTACATTTTTAAAAGATAACTGTGTGGAGAATAGATTGTAGGGGACGAGAAGAAAAAGACATTAGTCCAGAAAAGAGAGAACTGATGGCTTGGACTAGAGTAGTGGCAGTTGAACAAGGAGAGAAGACTGAGTTTGTGGTCTGGTGGAATGAATTCTGATGTATAATTCATTGGAGAGAGGGTTCTTTCCTTGTCTTCAGAAGCTACAGGATTTCTTAGGTGGCAGAATTTGAATGTGTGGCTTCAGTAGGGCTTGGTCTTATTATTCCGGTGATCTTTTAAAATAATCACAGCCATACCTATGACATTTCCATGGCTCTCCATTATCCAAAAGACAAAAATACAGGGCTCACCATGAGGGCCTAGCCTATCACTTACAGCTTTCCTACCAACAGCCATGTCAAACTATGTAAAGAATCAGTAAGGTATCATGCTGGTTTATACCTCCATGCTTTTGATCTTGACTTTCATGCCGCTCCCTCTTGGAAGCCCTCTCTGTGTACTTCCTGGTCTTCTCGATAATAAATACCATTTAGTTTTAAAGACTGGTGTGATTGTCATTATGAAAAATTAACATCACATTACTCTTCCACTATCAAAGTTTTGTTTTTTGTTTGTCTAGTTCATTCTGGACTGCAAGGTTAAAATCAGAAAAGAGGAATTAATGGAACTGATGGACTAGAAATTGTTTCTGTTCTGGCTCTCTTGAGAGAAGTACTGTTCTAGATAGATTGCTGTCCATATTCAGTATTGCGAAAGACTTCACTGTGGGTTTTAAATTAAAGGGAACAGCAAGTCCCCTTTATCCCTAATGACTTTAAACTTAGAGAAAAATTGCAAAAACAGTACAAAGAACTCACATACCCTTTACCTAGACTCACCAATTACTAACATTTGTCACATTTGCTTTATAATTATCTACCTCCTGTCTCTCCCTTTCTCACTGTCTTTTTTTCTTTGTCTCCCTCTGCATTCTCCCACACACCAACCCACAATTTTTTTCTGAACTATTTGAGAATATGTTATAGACATCATACATCTTCCCTCCTAAATTCTTGTATTTCCCAAGAACAAGGACATGATCATACACAACACTGTATAGTTATAAAAATCAACTTAACCTTGATAATGTCCATAGGCCATATGCAGAGTTCACCAATTGTGCCAATACGTCCGTTTATAGAATTTTTTTTTCCAGTCCAGGATTATCTATTGCATTTGTCATCTCTCTCTAATCTCCTTTCATCTGGAACAGTTTTGTAACCCTCCTTTGTCTTTCAGTACTTTGATATTTTTTAAAAATAAGGCCTATTATTTTGTAGAATGTCCTCCGTTGGCGTTTACCTGAATCAGTTACCACTATAGTGATTGTAAGATGATGATTTTCTAACTCCTCCCTTTCTTATGTTTTTACTAATTGCATTCTACTATACAGAAGAGTTGTCCTTTTTCCCATATTTATTTACATTGATATAGACTCATGGATTTTTACATTATTCAATAGGTTATAATCCATTACTATTATTATTCATTTTAATGCTCAAATTGTCCCAGATTTGGCCGATATGAGCTCCTTTGATTGAATTCTGTATCCTCTCTCCTTTCGATATGTCTCCATCCTTTTTTGAGCACTTCCTTATTTTCCGGCAGGAGATGATGTTCCACGTTCATCTTGTATTATTGATAAATCATCTGTCTAGCTTTTCTTAATCCTGATAAGGTAATGTATATACAGTCTATTAGTGTTCTTACTATTATGGTATTTGAGAATGAGTTAATTATTTCCTAACAATCTGATTTGCCTCTAGCTCCAAAATTCTGATTCTGATTTCAGAAGACATACTTGCTAACTCTCTTCCTTTTGTGTTTTATAGGTAACTGTAGAGCTTATTATAGATAACAAGGATTTCACTGGTGTGAATACTAAATTAAGTAGCAGCACCCAACATAGCCCATGTGCTCTTGCAAGTCCAGATAAGACACTATCAGAATCTGGTCAATATGTTACCTGTACCAAAAATCCAGAGAACCTAAATCAAATTCAAAAAGAAGCTGCAAAGAAAGTGCAAAATTTGGTGCTCCCCAGCCCAAAGTCACCAAGTCCTGTTGCACCAAATCCTTCAACCTTCATGGCTGTGCCAGCCTCTCACGATTTAGCAAATCAGACAAATGGGTCAACAAAAGAGACTGCTTTGCTGTTGCATGTGCTCTTGATGGTGCCAGATGGGAAAGATTTCATTACTGGAGAATCTGACAAACAACCACCGTGCAATATTTATTTAAATTGCAAACTTTTCAGCACAGAGGAAGTCACCAGATCTGTCATCGCATGGGGCACAACACAACCAGTCTTTAACTTTTTTCAGGTAACTGTATATATCTTAACCTTCCATATCCATTAAGGATGTATGGGGGCAGAGACAAGTAGGTTTCCCAAATCATAATTCCATTATAAAAGAAACCTAGAATGTTCAGACTGGGAGAGACCTTTGTAATTATCTGCCATGCAGATCCATTCCCACTGTGGGATTAGAAGAGGAAAAGACGTTGTCAACTTTTAAAACTTATGTCTTCATTTCCTTTTGTTCTGTCTCAGTTGAGATGGTTTCCTACTGTTTCTTTTGCCTGAGTTCTGAATTATATTCCTTTCTGCTTCCTTTAGAACTAAACTTTCCCCCTTTCTTTTCTGTATCTCCAAACTCTTCTTTTAACTCTAGTTAACTTTTTTATATATTTTTTCTCTCCTTTATTCCTCTACTTATTTCAGTACTTATCTTGCTTGATTTCTTTGTAGGATTTGATGCTATTGCTTAAATTGTTTCCTTTTTTGATTTTTATAACTCTACTCTCTTATTTTCTTCCTGAATCAACAACTGTTCTTTTTCAGTCTGTGGGCCAGTAGGAAAAGAGTAGTGACCCCAGCACTTCTTTCTCCTTTTCTCTTACCTTTAATTATTGGTGCTCCTGTTCATTGCTCCTTGGCTGTCTTCCAAACCAACCCTCTTTTCCCATGGTCACTACTTCTATTCCCATAGCTTCAGCTATTATTTTTATGAAGATAACTTCCAAATCCATACTTCCATGTAGGCCAGACATTTCTGATCAGGTTTCTGATCTCTCTGTCTAGCTGCTGGTCATCATCCCCAGATGTCTCAAAAGCACTTTACACTTGGCTTAGACCTAATGCACTGCCTGGCATATCGGAGGTATTGAATAAAGATGTCTAAATGAAAAAAGGAATTCAGATGTGTCCAAATCTGAATTTATTATTCCTTCCAAATCTGTTCCACCTCCTCCTTTCTGCCCTAATTCATATTGTAATCTACTCAGAAACCCAAGCAGAACCTGAAAGGTATCCTTGACTCTTTATTACATAATTATTCACCAAATCCAATAGATGCTGCTAACTTAATTATCTCCAGAATGAATCTTTCTGTACCTCAACTAAGTTGCCAGTGCTTTCATTCAGGCCCTCTTTCTCATTCCAGATGGTCTTCAGTCTAGTCTGTTTCTGGTCTTTCCCTGTCCATTCCTTTTTGTACCAGTAGGAATGATCTTTCTAAAACATTAACCTGAACATTTTTCTCCCCTGCTTTAAACTTTTCAGTGATTCCCCATAGCCTTCAGAATAGAGTCCAGATGTTTAGTGTGAACTACAAGACCCTTTAAGAACTGACTGTCTTCCCTTCAGAACTCTTCCCTTCACACTAGGTAGTGAAGCTATGTTCAGCTACTGGAGGTTTCGTGAACGTTCTCTTTCCCTACCGCTGTGTCTTTACATGTACTTTTCCTTCTGCCTTGCAGTTCCTTCTCAGCCTTCATGACTCCTATTAGGCAGAGCTTTTTATACTAGTTAACTTTTTTTAAGATTTTATTTATTAGAGAGAGAATGAGAGAGAGAGAGCACATGAGAAGGGGAAGGGTCAGAGGGAGAAGCAGACTCCCCACTGAGCAGGGAGCCCGATGCGGGACTCGATCCCGGGACTCCAGGATCATGACCTGAGCCGAAGGCAGTCGCCCAACCAACTGAGCCACCGAGGCGCCCTATACTAGTTAACTTCTGCGTATCCTTAAGAATTTAGGGTTACTTTCTGCCAGCAGCTTTCTCTGAAATCTCCCTATTTGTCAGGTTAGGTCGCTGTGTTTTCACTTATTTTGATTTCACAGAACAGAAATGTGCTCAGGGTACCTTATGTAATTGGAGTTTCTTAGATGGATACAAAAGTAGGTGAGCTCAGGTTCTCTGCTCTTCTGGTATCTTCCTCTCATCTTGCCGTACATCATTTCTGGTTTCACCCCTTTTCCTTTCATGTTTTCTGTTGGTTTCATCCTGGGGCTTGGGCTTATCTCTCCTGTGCTGATGCAGTTATGCTACCCTTCAAATTGGTGGGCCCTTGATTCTGCCTTTAATTTAACTGACTCGCTCTTGGCTACAAATCTCTGCTTCTCTTTGTGACTTTTCCTTTCTCTTTCAGCTACCAGCTGACTGGCCAGTTCTCGAATAATTTTACATTGAAAAATCCAGTTGAACATTTGGCTTGTTATTTACCATGACATTGGGTTGGGCAGAGCTTTTTGCACTAGGCCATACCATCCAACCAGTAGGATTGGCTGCCCTTTGATTAGGTGCTCAACCCTTGTCTAGTCAGTAGCCATCTTTCTTTCAAAAACATCTGGAGGTTGGGAGGGGCAGGAAAAAAAGTCTGTCTCACAGAGGGGTTTACAAATGGGTCATTTTGCCTTAGAAAGGCTTGGATGAGGCAATGAGGCGATGAGGCGGCAGGCAGTGATTGACATGTCCAGCAACCTTCTCTGTGTCCTCAAAGCCCTGTCTATATGAGCTTTGTCATCAGAGAACTCATACCATTTTGTATTTGGCCTTTATATGTTGGTCACTTACACCAGACTGGCTTCTCTTGAGGATACAGAGTGGGTTTTATTTTAATGTCTTCAGCTTCTAGCACTGTGCAGGGCTTTCAGTTCAAATTGGGCTTTCAGTTAGTACTTGTTAAATAAAAGCATAGATTAATCCTTTGTCTCAGGTGTGGGTTTTTATTTTGTTTTGTTTTTTGATTGCTCCTCTCCCCAGGTGATTCCTGTCTCTCTGTCTTCCAAATACCTGGAAAGGCTGAAGGACAATGTGATGGTAATTGAAACATGGAACAAGTTGCGGAGCCCAGGACAGGACAAGTTGCAGGACAAGTTGCTCGGGCTGGTGAAACTCCCCCTCCATCAGTTTTACATGTCATTCAAGTAAATAGGATCTTTTGGAGTATTCTTTACTTTACATCTTTATCTTTGTATAGACTGAAGAGAAATTCTTTTGGTTTGCAAAAATGACTAGCCCAATAATACCTTGGAGGACTTTTCTCAATTTCACCACAGTCGCTGCACTTTCTCCTCTGTTAAAACAGTTTTACAGATACTGCTTACCCTGTTTCAGGCCCTATGCTAAGAACCTTATATACATCAAGTCATTTAATCCTCACAACAGTTTTCTAAGGCAGGTAATTTTTATTTCCCCTATTTTACAGATGTGTTAACAAAGGCACAGAGGATTTAAATAACTTGTTATATATATTGTAAGTAGTAGAACCAGGGTTAGAACCCAGAGAGTTCTACTGCTTCACCAAGAAGCTCTACTGCCAAAGGTTATCACCTCACAAAACTAATGGTTTAGTTCTCTGTCACAAAAATGTTAGTACTGTTTACTTTAGCTATTTGCAAGATTTCTATACTGAGTGTTGTCTTTTGGACCTTCACATTTGATCACTGTACCTCACTTTTCACTGTGCAACACCCCCATAAGGTATTGATTTATCTGAAGGGTATTTCTGTCCTCACTACAGACTGTTCATTTTTTCTTTTGGTTCAAGGTACTGATTTTTAGTTATTTTAGCACTGACTTCTTTCCTAACAGCCTTCTTATGGTTCTGTGTTTTATATGCTGTTATTTTACATTTTACAGAGAACGCTTTTGTGGGCACAGTTTCACATGAGCCTTTCTATAACCCCAGGAAGTATTATCATTATCCCCTTTTTACAAATGAGGAAACTTAATCTTTTGACTTGCAGAAGTCAGCCTCTCTGGCTTTCTTTTCATCATCTGTAAAATGAGGGTGATGCTAGACCCCCTGTCTCCCTTATGGCACAACTGTGAGAAAACAAGTGGGTAAGCCTTCTGTGAACAGTGAAATACTTAGGCTGGTAACACTGGAAAGCATGGTCAGGCTAAGGAGTGCTGCTGGAATCATGCCTCTGTCAGCTATAGGCTTTTTCCCCTTTTTTAGTTGTGATATTAGTGTGGTCTGGTACTTCCCTTCCCTTCTCATTTCATTAGACCCCATTCTTTGCTGAAAGAGCGTAAAACAATAGTAGCTACCAGTTAATGAGTACTTTTATGTACTAAGTATTATAGTTGGTATTTTGGGTTTGTTATCTCAGCTAATCCTAACAACTGCCCTTTGATGGAAGTTTTATTACATACATTTTACAGAAGAGGAAACAGAAAGGTTAAATTGATTATTAGAGTCATTCAGCAAGTTAGTGTCAGAGCTAAGATTCAGCATGGTATAATGAAGAGCATTTGGACTTTTTCTCATCTATTAATAGTGGATAATATCAACTTTTGCAGTGTTAGAAGGGTTATAGATGGCAGATATTATTGGTAATATTATCCAGATCTTATCTGCCAGACTCCAAAGTCCATTTCAAATTGACCACACTGCCTCCCTGTAAAGTAATGCAATTCAGCAAGCCTGTACTGAGATAGCGCTCGATCCCAGATGCTGGGCTTGGGGTCATGGTGATAACAGACATAAATCAGACTGCTTTCAAAGTGCTACATTTGTAACTTAACTGCCTGGTAATTTTTATTTGATGAGCTATGGTAAAATCATATTTTTTTTCAAACTAATGTTTTCTAGTTGTAGACCCATTTTTAACAAACTGAGAAAATAAGCCAAGTAGGAAATGCAGCAGCAACTCTGTGACATGACTGATGGTTGTTATTTGCTCATTCGCCATTTCTCTCCCTCTAGAGATCCCAGAATTTCTCGCCTGCTGCTTGATGCTCAGTACCCAGTTGTTGCTGTTGACAGCTACATGCCTGTGATTGATGTGTTCTCAGGCCACCAAAACGGGAGTCTTCGCGTCTTCTTAGCCATGGGTTCTTCAGATCAGATAATGGCACTACAAAGATTAAAGAACGAAGAAGGAACACTTCCTCCCTTCAGCCCTAGGCCAGCCCATTTTCTGGATCAGCCATTTATAGCATCTGTTAATATGGTAATGATTAAACACTTGATAGTTTACAAAAACCATAATCTCATTTTAAGGTGTACAACGATGCTTTAATATATACGTAATATTGTGAAAGGATTACCACAGTGAAGCCATTTAACATATCAGTCACTTCACCTATTTACCTTTTTATGTGTGAAGTGAGAACAGTTAAGGTCTATTAGCAAATTTTAAGTTTCATAATCTCATTTTATCTTGCGTGTTTTAATGAAACCATTGCCCCAAATCCTTATTTCAGTAGTGAAAAGGAACATATTTGCACTCCGATGCATGCTGTAGATCCAAGGAATTATTTGTTTTGTGGTTTAAATATATATCTGTCCCTCTGAAATTTTTGAATTTATAAAGAAACTCTAATTGGACAACCACATCCTAATCGTCTAATTTACTAACTTAATTAATTGCCTCTTTAAAAATTGGGGTGAACCTAAGACTGCATTTTAAAAGGTCTTAACTAAAAAGGAGATAATCCAGGAGGGAAAAATAGGGGTGGGAGGTTGACAGTGATCCCAAATGTAGGCCCGCAAAATCTTACTCTGTTTCTTAACCAAATCCATGTTGGAAAGTTACAGTAAAGTTTCTTGCTCTTCTACAAGTAAATTCTTAAAAGTAATTTGTTTTGTACGGTGTTGAACAATTGAGAAAGCACATTGATATACTTTTTACATGTTTATTTCCCTAGTACTACATGAGGGGAACCATTGTCATTCACTTTTCAGGTGGTGAAACAGAGTCAAAAGAAGTTATGTTATTTGTCCAGGGTCATATAGCTAAGAATGGGAAAATCAGAGTTTAGACACAGGCCTTTTTTTTTTTTTTAGAGAGAGAGAGAGCACGTGCAAGTAGGGGGAAGAGCAGAGGGGGAGAGAGAGAATCTCAAGCAGACTCCCTGCTATGGAGCCCTATGCAGGGCTCAGTCTTACAACCCTGAGATCATGACCTGAGCTGAAATCAAAAGTCAGACACTTAACCTACTGAGCCACCAGGCGCCCCCAGACACTGGCCTTTTGACTTAAAAGTCCAATCTTCATTCTGTTGTATCATGTCCTAGTGTATTTTACCTTTGGTGTCTTTACCAGTATAGCCAAATCTCAGTCTCCACATGATTTAAGTACGTTATGTTTTTAAATCTGAATCTGAATGACAAATGTGATGTCTCTAACAGAGAAAGATTAGGAAAATGTCTATGAGTAGGTTATTGTTTATTTGTATGTTATGAACTCCAAACTTTACTGTTTCTATTAGATACTAGTGTCTATTACTAGATAATAGTAGCTTTTTAAATTTAAATACGACAGAAAAGCACAAAGAAAATTTATCTATAATATCCCCAAGTCTATTTAGTGTTATATGGCCCTCACATTGCAGTGTAGACTCAGGTTTTGTTAAATGCCATACCAAAAGTTAGAAAATATTACTATGAGCATAAAAGAACTCTTGGAAAGATTAGATATCTGTAAATACAGTTGTTTTTCTTCTTGTACTCATGTCCCTTATCCATTTCAGCATCTGCAGAACTGAATTATTAGATTACTCTAATACTGTATGACCAAATTAAGCAGCTGCTGAGATTATGAGAGGTTTTTTTCTTTAACCCGTATTTTTCTTCTCTGGGGAAACAAACTGAAAGTTCTCTGTTTCCCTAAGGAAGGTTTTGGAGCAGATATTGCTGATAGGTTTTTAGAATACAAAGTAAAGACCTTATGCAATTTCTATTCCGAATTCATGGGATTAGTACTTAGAATGTTAAACACATATAAATCATACAGTTTGACCCCTATCTGAATCCTGAATTCCCTCTTTGAATAGTCCCAATTATCAGTTGTCTTGTGTCTGTTGAAGCTGTATAGAGTAGAGGTAAAGAGCTTGGCTGTAGAGTCAGACTACCTGAATTCAAACCCTGGTTCCGCTGTTGTTAGCTATGCATGTTAAATTAGCTATTACAAGTGAAGGGCTTATTATAGTGCCTGGCTATAGTAAATAATAAAAACCTTAAATTGTTATTAGTATAGGTTACCTTCAGTAATGGTATGTTCACAACCTCCCCTACTAGTCCTTACCATTAATGAATAGTCTCAGTGTTATTCCCAACTTTATTAAAAATAGTATGTAAATTGGGGCATCTGGTTAGCTCAGTCAGTAGAGTGTGGGACTCTTGATCTCAGGGTCGTGAGTTCAAGCCCTACATTGGGCATGGAGCCTACTTAAAAAAAATTAGTATATTAATACCTATTTGCTTCATGTGTATATTTTTTATCCTATTAAGATCTTCTTAATGTATTCTATTAGTGTACTAAGAATCAGAAGCCAGTGTTGAATTTTATTAAATACCTTTTTAGCATTTATTGAGATAGTCATGTTTTTAATGCAGTGAATTACATTTATGGATTTTCTAATATTGACCAAGTCTCACAGTCTAGAGTAAATCCACCTTGATCTGATTACAGTGAGCAGTTGTGAGATGTATACACAATGAAAATTAAGAATCTGTTTTAGTATCAGCTAATTACACCTATTTCTTCATGTAGACTCAGATTTCATAGAGAAACAGGAATATTCTAAGAAACTTTTTCTTTAAAGCTCACCAGTATCTCTATTTCATTTAATAGGCAGAGGACCAAAGAAATGGATTGATGGAGCATCACTTTGAGCTCCATGTAGAGAAAGTTAAAGGGCTAGCCCCTCTTCAGGCAACAGTCTGGGGAGAAGCAGATTGTTATGTCCAATACTACTTTCCAGTTCAAGACTCCCAATCCAGTGTGCTAAAAGGACCTGAGTTCCCTGAAAATGGTAGGTTTGGGAGGTTAGAGTTTCTCATTCTTGTATGGTTCTTTCATTGGCTATACTTAGAATTTTGTTTTTTCCTGAGTGAATTTTGTGTTCCTAAATGTTCCTAGTCTTAACCTGGATAGTACAGGAGATGGGCTAAGTTTTTATTTTTCTTTTCTTATGTTATTTCTTGTAATTTTTTATTTTGATATGATTTCAAAGTTACAGAACATTTAACAAAAATGGTACAAAGAACTTAACATATTATCTTACTACTTACTACTTTACCTAGATCCACAAGTTATTTATATTTTGCCCCATCTTATATCATTTACATGCCTACTCACTCTTATCTATACACATACAGTTGATTCTCATTACTCATGGTAGTTATATTCTACATAACATAGCAATGTCAAGGACACTGAATTAGAGAATACTGAACCATTGCTTTTAGGGGAAATATGTACATATATATAGCTCACATAGATCATAATTGTAAATCCTAAAACAACTTATTCGAGTAGATTTTACTTTATTTTACAAAAGAGAGAACAAGGTTCAGAAATGTTAAGTGACTGAAGCTGCCCCAGTGACAATAACAAGGTGCACATTCAGACCCCATCCAACTGGCCCCAGAGCCAGATACTCTTGCACTACACCACACTAGCCTCTCCCATCTCCATCATCTGATCATCTCTGAGAGCTAAAACAAGAAAGCAGAGTGTCACTTTGTCCAGGCTCAGCTGGGAATGATCAAGTCAGGTGACTCAAATGTTTTGCCAATCTCAGCATGTCCACAAATAACTGCAAAAGAGCTGCCAGTATTGATTTTTGGGTTTCAAATAAGGGACTTGTATCCAGAATATAT